GAGAACTGGGTGAAAGTGTTGTGGTCAGATGAGACCAAAATGGAGCTCTTTGGCATCAACTCAACTCGCCGTGTTTGGAGGAGGAGGAATGCTGCCTATGACCCCAAGAACACCATCCCCACCGTCAAACATGGAGGTGGAAACATTATGCTTTGGGGGTGTTTTTCTGCTAAGGGGACAGGACAACTTCACCGCATCAAAGGGACGATGGACGGGGCCATGTACCGTCAAATCTTGGGTGAGAACCTCCTTCCCCTCAGCCAGGGCATTGAAAATGGGTCGTGGATGGGTATTCCAGCATGACAATGACCCAAAACACACAGCCAAGGCAACAAAGGAGTGGCTCAAGAAGAAGCACATTAAGGTCCTGGAGTGGCCTAGCCAGTCACCAGACCTTAATCCCATAGAAAATCTGTGGAGGGAGCTGAAGGTTTGAGATGCCAAACGTCAGCCTCGAAACCTTAATGACTTGGAGAAGATCTGCAAAGAGGAGTGGAACAAAATCCCTCCTGAGATGTGTGCAAACCTGGTGGCCAACTACAAGAAACGTCTGACCTCTGTGATTGCACTAAGTACTAAGTCATGTTTTGCAGATGGGTCAAATACTTATTTCCCTCATTAAAATGCAAATCAATTTATAACATTTTTGACATGCGTTTTTCTGGATTTTTTTGTTGTTATTCTGTCTCTCACTGTTCAAATAAACCTACCATTACAATTATAGACTGATCATGTCTTTGTCAGTGGGCAAACTTACAAAATCAATAGGGGATCAAATACTTTTTTCCCTCACTGTATATAGAATTTGCGAAGTTATCAACAGCTATTGTTTCAATTCAACCCAGGGTTCAACTAAAAATAGACAATACATATAGGCCTAGGGTTTCAAGCTTTGGTTGATGTCAAATGTCATCTTCAAGATAATAATGATATGTTGGATTCACTTCTCCATTTCAACCAGTTAAAGAATAGGACTAAATCAAATCAAACTTTATTTAAAGTGCATTTAAATTTAGATTTTAGTCCTATTCTTTAACTTAGATTTTTGGGTTGAGATGGAGACGTGAATCCAACATATCAGTTATTAATTTGTAGACAAACTGTAATTAAAGTCAGATTAAGTCAGTGGCACAAAATATACATCTCCTTCACATGTTGATATTTGGTTGCATTGACAACCAAACACAATTCAATATCACTTTTGCGATACAGTAAATAGCCTAAAGTTAAGGATATCTTAAAAACTAATGTAACAGTTTTTATTCAACCTTAAAATGTGTAACTCATTTTGAGGTTACTGCAACTATAAAAGTCTTATTATGTAATCATAGAAAGCGTGCATGTTCAAGATAGCATGCAAAGGTTGCAGGTCTGTGGAGATCTTCACAATATAAATATCTGTGCAGAATCTCGAACATCCCTGATCACTTGCACTATGTATTTTTTATGTATTCTCAACTACAATCCAGGTCATTAGTTGTGCTATTAGATGAAGCACAGTGATAACACAGTGATAAGTTGTTGTATAAATACAACATAATTGACATTGTATTCCCATTTCAACTTTGTTGTGCTTTTAAATGGTTGAAAGTGCAGTGATAACACATTTAGATGACAACTAAACCCAAAATCTGAATTTATTTTCCATTGGAATTTGGTTGTGCTTTTAGATGGTTGAAAGCATAGTGATAACATTTGGGAATTCAATACACTTCTGGCTGTCTTTTTGAGTGGGTGAATAAAGATTGAAATGTCATTGATCAACGTCTCAACCAAAAATTACCCACATTTCCAGGTTGAAATGACGTGGTGTGCCCAGTGGGAAGACATTTGAGCACAGTCGGAGATATCTCTCACATATTCATGTAAACACAAGTGCACACACAAAATCCCTTTCTCTTTCACTTAACTTACAGTTAAATACAATTAGGCTACAGCAGAGAATAGCATTACTGTAAAATCCTTTATGTTGCTCTCCATACAGCAGATAAATATAATGTTGAGTCCTTAGACAGTTCCTTTTCCCTCTGACCACTGTCTGCACATCTGTTCATTAAAAACAAATGGAGACTGATGACTCATCCCCTATTACCACCAAATGTCATCATCTTCACTCATTTCTTAATAAGGTTGCAAACCCCTGCCGGAATTGTGAGTGTGTGTGTCTGTGAGAGAGAGCAACAGCGAGAGCAAGATTCATTGCATTACATTACGGTTGCCGTGGACAGAACAATAGTAAAGAAAAAAGCATCTAAACCTCACTTCATTATACTCAAAATGAATCCAATGAAACCTACAAGCGAATTACCTCCACGCTACATCAAGTCCCCCACAGTGGGGGCTGTTCACAAGATGAGATCGGGGCATACTGTAGTCATGCTGTGGACCATTTCATGTGAAATATACCGGTCATGCTGTATCAGTGATAACAGACTGCCAGACCTGATGTCATCCTTGACTGGGAGCTGATATGTGCTCAGATTTACTATCAGTCAGAAAGCAGATGTCTTCTACCATCCAGGTCCATGAATCATTCAACTCTCTCTGTACATTCAAAGTGGAGAAAATATGACACAGATGTTAACCTGTCTTGCGTTCAGTGCTGGAAAGAGGAAAGCGTTCACCAAGAGTAATAAAATGATAAGAAACACTAGAATGTCACATCTGGAAGCTGAGATCAGTTGGCAAGGGCCAGTCACTGACAGGTGAGGTAAGAAACTACTGCCAAATACAGTCATCTAACAATACATACTGTATGCCTGGTAAGCCAAGCAATTTGAGGACATTGGCAAAATGATCTGATAAGCAGACTGCTTCCCCCCACACTATATGAATGTTATATTCAATTGACATTACTATTGTCTGACATTAAAAGTACAAGATTTTTGTCTATCAAGTATCAAGAGACACATATCCGGCACATATCCCTGAAAATAATGTAAAGTACAGTAAAACCTGAAAAGGAAGATGTAAGACTATCAATATATGCAGTGTGAGAAGACAAATGTCTGAGTAGAGTATTCATTGTGTATCTCAAAGGTTAGACACGACAGGTCATTTGAGGGGGAAATGAGGCCAGATGAGATGGAGTCTACAGAGAAAGTGAGCGCAGTAAACCAATCAATTTGAATTATCTGCTCCTTGCTGTGTTTTAATTACATTTTTACTTTGGGCTGTGGTGCGGTGATTCATGCAGAAGAGAGAGTAGCTATAGCCAGACCACCCCCCTCTCACCTGGCTGGGATTATCTGACAAGGCTAACATCTCCACTCACGACCATCTACACACACATCGCAACATACAGCCAGAGAGGAGGGGTGAGTGGAGGAGGGGGGTAAAGGGCAGTGTGGGTGAAGAGACATTAAAAGAACTTTAAGGACAAGGCACCACAGAAATGAGCTCCACAGCCAACACCACCTCTCCTCTGATCACTATAACACTGTTACTCTCTGCCCCCTGGACACGAGAAAATCATAAAAGTGTATTTCACTGATCTTCGAAGCCAGAGACCATGTTTCGTGGCTCATCAGAAAGAGCCAGAGTTTCCTGGTGAGTGATTACTCTGAATCCTGCTGTAGGCCAAACACAACACTGTTATGTTTAATACCTTAAAGCCCATGACCGGTTAAAATGACCACAGAGCACCAGTCTGGCTCAGGGGATCTCTTTCCATTGGCGAGGCCTATTTTAAGAGATGGCCGCGGGAGGCTCCAGACTACATTGACTATGGCAGGGAAGTCCTCTCCCGAGGGCCGGCTGGGACCTGTGTTCTGGTGGTCTGCTGGATCTTCCAATGGAGCACAGAGAGAAGGAGGCAAGGAACGTTTCATGTTAAGAGTGTGATTTTAGCCATGTGTGGAGTGTGTTATAGCACATGCCTGCCATAGTAGGCAGTAGCAGATGGGCTCTGCTCACTGTTACAAAACATACTTTGATTCTAACAGCTAGTACTGTACATACGCTCCAACATCAGGTCAATTTACATTTTTACTGACCATAATAGAGTGTTGGTTTATTGCTCTGGTTATTCTGAAAATAACTAATATGACTTGTTCATAGGACATATAGTGTGTTACAAATTCATTCTGAGTTACAAGCCTTTTGTTAGATATGCCAAAATGAGCTCCACAGCCCCAGTCTGACACCCCTCTCCCACCACCTCATCCCTCTCTCCTCTCCTCCTTTTCCTCTCTCCCTTTCAGCAGAGAGCGGGGCCTCATTCAGCACTGTGAGCCTGCGCTCATTAATAATGAAAAGCAGAGAAACAAGTACAATTCTGTAAGAATCTTGCCACCCTTTGTACTTTTGCACTATGGAATAGATTAATATTTCATCTGTGAGCGTATGTGTATGTCTATTTGTTCGTAACAGGCAGCGCTGTTACGAACATAAACTGTCTTTGTCCATACCTTAGCCTCTCAAGAGAATCCCTTACCCCTTTTAGATATTGGATTGTAAACCAAAGGCTACTCTGTAAATAACCTGCAGTAACCTTTCTATTGACCACTGCAATCATTTGCTCCAGGAGTCGAGACAGTTGCAAATTCATTCCTTTCCATTGTGTGTAAAAGGTGAACCGCATTCTTGTGTGTTATTTTAGTGGAAGACACCAAGAGCCCTAAAGCTATGCCTCCGCATGATCGGATTATTCCACGGACAGTGTTTTGTGCTTGGCATCAGAACTGAGAAGATGTGCCACGATATTTGCCTCAGAAATTAATTCAACTCCTTCCAGGAAATTAACAACAGATAACCATCCATCTGATAAAGTCTAATACATATCAAATAGTCCATTAAACACACCAGTAATATTGACGAACATTCAATAAAAACCTTTCAGAAATCAATATTATGAAATAGGCTAGTGCAAGTGCAATACAACTGTCTTATTTGAGCAAGCAGCCTTGAACAGGGTGTTAAAACAGGATGATGTTATACAGCAGTGGTAGTTAACAGTTCTGTAGTGTTTCAGGTCACTGAGACAGCCAGGCTACTCACCCACTCAGAACCACGATGAAGTCCATGACGTTCCAGCCGTTCCTCAAGTAGGAGCCTTTATGGAATACAAATCCCAACGCCACCACCTTAATCCCAGCTTCAAAGCAGAACATCCCAATGAAGTAAGGCTCTGTCTTTTCCTGTGAATTAAAAACGGACACATCAGACAAATACAGCACAAAATGGTCACGTCAATATAAAAGGTTACAGAACAGAGGCTTATACAATAACAGTATTGTGTGTGTGAACACATTTATCACACTTTAGGTTCATGTAAAAACAGAAATATTTTGAAAAATAAATGCACATATTATGACCCTATTGAATATACTGTGGGTACTACATAACAAGCAATCATTTTCTAACCATTGCTGTCTTGCCCTTTCCAATAGCTTCTCTCAAACTGTTACACATGCTCAGGAAAGGATTAATTAAATTTTTCTCTCAGCAGGTAGGTAAGCACTCTCATGTGCTCAGATGCACTTAGCATGATAATATACAGTAAACAAGTATTTTTGCGTCATACCCGTGGCATATTGTCTGATATACACACGGCTGAAAAGCTATTTCAGCCAATCAGCATCCAGGACCCAAACTACCCGGTTTATAATAAATGTCACAGTAGTAGACAGTTATTTGTACTATTCTGTGTTGGGCATTCAAAGACAGTAGGGAACTGAGAGGATAGAGCCCAGTTTGGACCTCTATGCCATGGTTTAATGGGTATACTGAATTCAGAATTCATGAATAAACAATGCAGCAACACCACACAGTAACTCAGAAAAATGTGACATGCCTTCCACAAAATACTCATTTCCAAGCTAACAATGTACTGTAAAGAAATAAAACAAGATTTAGTGTTCTCGTTTTTCTGCAACTATCCACTTCATCTTTGGAGAACATTTCAGGTTTTAAATAAATATCAAGCTTCATGAATAAGAAATTGGGAGGTAATTTGTGTTTTTTAAATAAGCTTCCGTAAGGTTAGAGAATTCCACTGATGATAACTGACTAAAGACACAGTGTATTAGTAGATGGTTGACTCACCAGTCTCTTGGACATGGGGGTCTTGTCCTCTCCAGGCAGGTGCTGCTCCAAGGCCAGTACGATACAGTTGGCGATGATGGTGGCTAGGATCATGTACTCAAACGGAGTGAAGCAACAAGTTAAGGAAGAATACTTTGTCACAATATACATAAACCCTGTTCTTCTATCTAATTTCAAAGTCACAGTTTTACAAATACAGTAACCTCTGATATTCAAAAACATAATGCAGTATTTCTGTCCCACCATGAGAGATATATATCATAGAGTGCTGAGGCCTAATAATCCCCATACAGAATGACAAGGATGACAGTATCATCAGCCCTATCTAAAACACCACCCTCCTAAGACATCTGATGACAATCCCTCTCATTGATTGAATGTCAGGATGCATCTATTCTTCTGACTTCTCCGTTGGCAGGCACACCAGTGTGAATCCAGCCTGTTGCTGAGCACCTGGCAGAGTGCTTCTGCCTCCTCCTCTCCTCCTCTCCTCCTCTCCTCCTCTCCTCCATACAGCTGGCTGGCACACAGAGGCCCTGCCTGTCAGCTCCTCACAATGCCCTGAGGCTGTCCAACCATCCAGCCAGCCAGCCATGGAGATGGGCAGGAGACTTCTGTACACAGTAGCTGGGGAAGGTAGAGGAGACGGGCCATAACCCTGAAAACTGCAGGAGAGCTGGAGGAGAGGCGAGTATGGGCGCACAGGGGATGAGTGGGAAGAACAGAGTCTGATCCTACAAATAAGGGCACTTTACTACAAGCTTACAACTTACAACTGGTGGTTGGAGGTTTAAATGCGGCACAGGGATGAAACCAAGGATGTGTATTTCTCTAATTTTGTGCGTGGGCACTGGATTTCTTTTGGCTGTGTGGAAAAAAGAGGTAGAGAATGAGGGAGCCTAAATCTCCTCAGTGGAGAGAGAGAGAGGGAGAGAAGGAGAGAGGGTGGAAGAGAAAGAGATCAATGCAAACAGAGCTGGCTGCTGGAGCTGCTGCCTGGAGGGTCACACAGGGATGCCCCTCATCATCTGAGCATTGAAGAACTAAATAAACAGAAGCTCACATACAGTCACACATACTTCCTGGCCTGCACTAATGGGAGCACTGAGCAAGCTATATTCAACCAGGACTTATAGAAAACTGTGCTAGCTGTTGCTGTCTCACAAAATGGGACACAACCTCCCATGATTCTCTCTGTCATGGGAGAGAATCATGGGAGAGAGAATCAGCACAACCACACCCTACCTCCATCCCCTCAGACGCAAGAGCACTGACACTGCACTCAGCGAGAGAGGGGAGGAGAGAAGAGAGAGATAGAGAGAGAGAGAGGTATCCACGGCAACCGGCTCCTCTCGGCCAAAAGTCAGCACTCACATTTAATGGGCGGCAGTCAGAGTTATTGCGACTCCCCACATGTTGCAACCGCCCTCCTGATGATCAAAACCTGCTGTTTTAATTTCATTTGCGTATAAAATCTATTCTCCACTCAGTCATTTACACAATATATTAAATACATACACAAAGCCATGTGTTTTTATATCATCCAATGAGAGAAGTGTGATTTCTCCAGGGACAGGTGTATCTACAGTATCATCTTATAATTGGCCTATATTGAGGAGGCATGGGGCTGCGGAGAAACTTCTAGGTTTTTTTTATCCCAATATGTATAATTCAGTTTTATCATTCATGAAATGCCTTCTGAGGAAACTGTGTCATTTATCCACAAAGGGGCATTGTAATGAGGGCTTGTGGGGATGTGTGAGTCACATTGACAAGTTTGCGCTGGCTCCCGCTTCTCAAACAGGTTAAAAAATAGCAGTGGAGATGGAATGTGATTCAGGGTGCATCTGTGCACATGTTTTTAGATTGGATTCAAACCTTATTACACACATGGTGGAAAACAATGAATCACTGTGACTGAGTCTGGGTTACTGAAGAGAGGGGAACATGTGTATGATGTAGATATTACATGATTTTAAACAAACATGAGAAAAAGCCAAATAGTGCTTGTAGATGGATTATAATAGTAAACAAAGACATTCAAACACAACAGGTGGCCTTTAGAAAAACTGTTGAAGTACATTTCTGATTGAAAAGATATTACCATTATCTTATAAATGTCAGGGTTACTGGATTGATGGAAGGCAACTTGTTGAGAGAATTAGATCTAGAATAGCAAGGCTGTCTTAAGAAATTAGATAATATCATTTTGATTGATCGCAATAAAATAAAGCATAGATCAACCAAGAATATAGGAACCAAGAGAAAATGCAAATGTAGTGATGTGCCAATGCCAGATCAGTTGTGATTTGCATGTCTTGCTGCTGTCAGTGATAGTGATGCTAAAGGTAGGGTGTGGCTACAGAGGGTGGTGTCAGCTCCACGCCCCTCAGACCTCCTCTGCCATGGGCAGGATCAATTATTAAAGGAGTATCTACACCCCGGGGCACTTCCTGTAGCAGCCTCCCAGCGGGCATCAGACAGGGAGAGCAGCTGCTCGTCCTCCCCATGCCACCTGCACCAGAGTGGGCCACGTGTTTCATTAGGCCTGCCTGGCTCCTCCACCCAGCCCCTGCCAGCCTCCACATCGACCCTGACACAACCCTGCTGCTCCTGCATCACGCCAGTTACGGAAGCCTGAAAATAAACCCCTCATCAATCACTGGTTTTAATTGAGCACTCAAAAATAAAGAACTGCTAATACCAGGGAGCATGTTGTTTTGCACACAACTATGACCTTTTGATAAGTCATGCAGAGAGAACTGATTGTGTGTGAGTGTGTGTGTGTGTACATGCGTGTGCATGGGTCAGGTGTGTGGGTGTGAGCAAGTGAGGATGTCTTACAAGGTTCATGGTGGATATTTGCCAGTGCTCTTTAAATGCTAAAGCTCAAGCTTACCAACATCAGCTTGTGCTGTGCCACATCATGATAGGAAACTACTCTGAATGAGATCATCAGTTACAGTTCTAATCACTTTATACCACATGATACAGCAAACTGATCAGACGTCATTAGATGTAATGTTTGTTAATTAAATTGTCAAAGTCAATTAAATTATATGATACACTCCCCACACAATGACACATTAACCTTGGGGTTAGTTTCTGCAATTTCCACCCAACAAAACAGCAAGATAGCCACAAACTGCAGAGAACCAGTCAGGAACTGCATAAACAATGATATGCTTGCAGTCACAATAATATATGGATTGAACTCCTCCTCCCATGTTGGCTACCCTCACCACATACTACAATCTCATTTGATGTGTTCAATGGGTTCAATGCTGAATTAATAATTTGAAATCAGACCACAAATATGGGACTACTGTGCTATAACATTCTATCAGAAAGCCATTCAGCTAGGCAGGACAATAACAACACAACTGGGACACCTGTTGTACTGTAGATTAACAATAGCTGACCAACACAAGGGCATTGTGTTGCTTCCTTTTCACTAAGAGATGGCCATCCATTTGGTTTGGTGTGGTGCCAAGTCATTTCCAAGCTATTAGTGACCCTCTCCACTTTCCGTCCCTCCATCTCGCCATCTCCTCTCCTCAGTGACATGTGGAAATGTGTTGATATTCCTCAAATCTACAGCCAGGGATCATCACACTCAACAACACCTGCATCTTGTTGACTGAAAAAGTTGCATGGAGGAGAATGGAGGTCTACGTGTGTAATTCTCTTTCCACTGACTGACATGTGAGTCACGCTCTCCCACTGAGAGACAACGTCAAAGACAACCACGCATGTTAAGCCTTACATACTCTACAGCAGTCTTCCAATGATAACACACTTTATTTTGTTCATGCATGTTTTGATCATCATACATACCTTAACATCTGATGCAGATTCTCTATGATGTCTTGAAAAATGCTTAGACCATATCATATTATTTTCATAGTAAAATCAACCAATGATAATAACCTTAGAATAGTGGAAAAGGGTGGCATTAAATGATATTCAAGAGCGCCTTTGGATATTGATCCAATTTTGGTAAATCAATTTATCTCAACACAGTGAATTAACCATAAAATGATGGCGAGACCAGAGGGAGAGGGGTGGTAAAGAAGCCCATCAGCTATAATTTCAAACGTAAATGTAGAATTACAAGCAATCTGGAATCCGCTGATAATAAAGATCTATACCCAGAGCTGTATTGCTACAATAACTACAACTGAGTAAAACAGTGTCCAACTAACAAGACTTCAGTCACAAACACTTCATTATGGCAGTTGATCATTCCTGGCAGTCAATGACAGTGCCAGACCTGTCCTGCAGCCTGCTGCCTGCCTCTATGACAGCCTGTCCTGTCGTGCTCCATCATGTTAATTCACCACCAGATGACTGAGGCTTGAATCCCAACAGGTTAACAAGGGCTGTGTTAGTAGCACCACAAAGAGGGGCCACTGACAGCATTATACTGTTGTCTGTGCTCTGCCCAGACACATCTCTTGACTCTGACTCATCACATGCATTTCCATTTGGTTGTATCCTTTTATTCCATTGGGGATATCAATACCTGTAGGACTATTGATCAATGACACACAGCAGAACCATAAAGTCTATCCCTGTGGAAATCGTACCATGAACAGCACTTTTACTCAGTGGGAAGTTATCATGGTTTAAAACATGTCTGCCTTAACCTTGAGTGGATTGTGAGTGGTCAGTGAAGTGGACCTGTTAGGTGTTACATGTTGGAACTCAATTTGTAAAAAGATGGTACTATAGGTAAAATATTTGTATTCACCTAATTTTGAGTGGAATAAAACCTTTTTACAACCACTGCTGGTACTGTCCATGGTGCTGAATTCTACTGTTCACGGTATTAATTTTTATAAGAGAAACGTTAACACAATAGATAGACAATTCAATATAGTTAAGAACCTTTGTCGAATGTGTGTGTGTTTACACTTAAATACAAAGGATATGGCCACTCTATGACCTTCTTTGCATACTTCCGAACAATGTTGTCCTCTCCGAAAATGAAGAGTGATCTATTGACGGTGAAACAGTTCTGTCTGACAGGGATGGGGTTGTACAGGGCCATGGTGCGGGCTCTCTGCGCCTTGGTCTGTTTGAAGGCTGGG